GAGAGGAAGAAATGGAGACTCGGGGAAGTTAGACAACCTTTTCAAAGTCATATGTCTATTAAGAGTGAAAGTTAGGGCTTAACTGAGGTCTCCCTTGAGTCCGTATTCTCTCTATTATGCTTCAGTGACTTGTAGAAGGCCGATCATACCTCCTACTTTCAAAATTACTTTGTATCTCATGACCTATCTAGGCTGGCCAGTAGCATACTAGAGTGCAGATATTAGAACCTCAGTGTTGAAGCTGATAATGTTTAAACAAAAAAACAAAAAACAAAAGCAAAAACAAAAAACAGATTGTGCTCGGTGAATATAACACCAAATAACACTCAGGAAGGAAAGATGGCCCGCCATAGTTTTATGTCACCCATGATGGCCAGAGCCCAAGAGGTTCCGTCTTCCAGATGTAGGGGACATGTCTTTTTAAATAACAAAGTCAACCAAAACATTCTGACGGTCCACCAACCCGAGAGTCTCTGCCTTTCTCATTGCAAAGTCTGGGCTCCCCTCACAGCAGTTGTCTTCCTCATGACTGACCACTCTTCTCAGGGAGAAGCATCGCCCTTCCACATTTTTTTGAAAATGAAGAACTCTGCTCCTTATGCCTGAGCATATCCTACAAGTTCCCAGAGGGAGTGATCTATTGTTTGACCCTATACTTGAACCTGGCTTAAAGTTCCAGTAATGTTGACTTGCCAAATACTTGATTTGTGGCAAGCCAATTAAACTCTCCAAACCCCAGCTTCTTGAGCTGTATAATGGTCATAATAAAAGTATTTCCAAAAAAAAAAAAAAGTATTTCCCTTTTAGGCACCATGAGATCATCTATGTAAACTGCTTAGCACAGTCTCTGCCCCGTGTCACTTCAGGGAGTGTTAGCTTGTATCACAAATGGCTGCCCTCTGGGTCTGTTTTACCGTTTACAGATAAGGAGATAGACTGGCTCAGGTGCACCCTGGGACTTAACCTGCCTGCAGGGAGGAGACTGGTTGTTGACTGACGTGGACTGCAGCGGCTCAGAGGAGAAAGAGGCCAGGGTCATGTTTGCACGCCTCTGGTTTGACCCAGGACACCTGGTTCCCTCACACAGACATCATAGGCTGCACTGGTCAGCCATCTGCCATGGGAGGTTAGGCTGAGTATGTCCAATTTGGACAATGACCAGTGGCTCAGTGAGACGGGTCTTGGGCAGCCAAGGTCAAGGGTGGCAAGCTGGGACGAGGCTTGTGCTGAGTCAGACAAGAGGAATTTTCATATTTCAGTGACGGTAGAAAACCACTCTGTTTGCAAAGCGGATGGAGTGGGCTTCCAGATGAGGTTTAGCATGAGGTAATCACCCACGGTAAAATTTTCACTTTGTCATTCTTCCAGTCCTCAGAGGATGTGCTGTAATCTGTTCCGTTGTCGAACAAGTTTCTGTTGATCTGTAGTTTCAACATTCTAGGCACTGGGAAGACAGAAATATGGGGGACGAGGTTTGCAGCCTCAAGCAGCACCTGCCCTTTCATGAAGGAGAGAGTTAGAAGCAAACACAGAAATAGATAATTACAGCACAATGGAGTGATTTTCATATCGCAGGGGTTTGTGTGCATGGAGATAGGCACTCAGCTCACCCTGTTGGCATCAGGGAAAGTTCTGGAGGACGAAAGGTAAGCTGGAGTTTGCCAGGTGAGAAAGAAGGTAAGAAGGGGTATGAAGAAAACAATATGCACCCCATGTTGTTGAAATGGACTTGTAAGTGTCACAGGTAAGGAGGGGTCCGAGTTCCTCGTAACAGCCCTACGGTGTCATCCCCTTTGAGGCAGTTGTACTGTGTCATCCTCTCATGAGGGTCCAGCGTTGATTTCAGTTCCTCTGAGGCCTCAGTCTCCATGTCTGCCCCTCAGGGCTGTAGTCAGAAGAGAGAGATGGGGATGGGAAATCACTGGCCTAGAGTTAAATGTGAAGTATCCTCTGCTACTCAGTCACAAGTACTTAGAGGACGGTTACTGGTTGGACAACAGTTCAGAGTAAGTGTGAGTCTGTGCGAATGTCTTTTAAGACCCGCCTTCTCTATCTGTAACGTGATGTTCTCTGAGATTTTCCTTAGCCGAGACCTAGAATGAACCTGGGAAAGAATATTTAACCCAGAGCCCATGATCCACATGGCTCACTTACCTTCAATGTTCCTTGGTTTGTTTTCCAGGAGGACTTTCTGCCACTGGAACATCTAGGTGAGGTCTGCTTCCTGTGCTGCCAACATTTTCATGATTTGTTTGTATCCACTAGACCAGAACGTGGAGTTGTGTACATTACAGAACATTTTACTTGACTTCCTAGTCACATTTTCAAACTCATGAGGTCCAAGAATGTGACTAGGAAGGCCACTTACAACCACAGCTGTGACTCCTACGTGTGCACAGAACTGGCGTTCTTTGCGCCCGGGCTGGTTTGAGTAGACGACCTGCCCCTGATGTCTGAAGGGCACCACCTCCCCTAGGGTTGCAGTTCATTCTTTCCCTCACCAGCCATCTGCTCACTCACTCGCTCATCCAGGGATTGAGCACTGAATGCCAGCCATGTTCGATTCACAGTAGTAAGGGCAGGAGGAAATGAAATTGGAAAAAAAAAACACAAAAATTCCTGAAGACCCTTTATGGTATCGTCCAGGAAATGTGGATTATTGTAATATGAGGTAGAAAATTGAAACAGACCACTTAAAAAAGACAAAGGTCAAGCTCTGTGGGAATGGGGTCTTTGTGTAGCAATGCTTAAGAACTTAAAGTTTTGAAAATAGTAGAACGTTAGGCAAATGCAAGTGCTTACTCATCAAAGGCAACCTGAAAGAAACTGTGTGGCTTTCTCCCTCTGACCTTGCCCCAGTGGCCACACCCCTGCTTTCCTGAAAGAGCCATTCAGACTCTTAGAGGAAGTAGCCGTGATGTTTGTACATGACCCATGCTGGGCTCTTCGTGGATATTGGTTTTCCTGGGACTGTAAGTGATTTTCTCCCTTTCCTCTCCCCCCTGTCACAGTTACGGCCCCAGAGCGAATCAGGGGCACTCTTTGACCACGCCCTCCAGCTCAGACTCCCGAGAGCCCCCCTGCTCCAAACCAGCCCTCATGGAGCTGCAGTCTGTGTACAGCAATGGTGAGGGCTTCCTAAGGGCAGAGGGCTCCAGGGAAGGGCCAGGGAGGACGGGAGAAGGGGACATGCTAGGACCCAGTCACATTCGATTGAAAAATGGCCGTCCCGACACAATGTCAGGGATGGAAAGTGGTTATGGGGTTGGTGGCTGGAGAGAGTCTTCAGTGCGGGCTCTGGACGACAGCCCACTGTGATCTGTTCTCTCACAGTGAACCCTGGGCACGGCGACCTCATTTATTCCCAGGTCTGGAGTATCCAGCATACGAAAGGAAATCCAGGTGAGACACCTTCCTGATGAGCAGAGGTCGGGTGGCAGTGTGTTGTCAGGTGTTGTCATCTCAGATCTGAGACCAGCATGGAGGAAATGGCCTGCTCATCGTGTACTGCCAACCTGATAATCATGTCACTTCCCAATTACCTGTCTACACTGCCACCTCTGCCCACAGACTCTGAGGACAGACGCTATAGTTTTTCACTGACATCTAGTACAATGCCTGGAAAACGAGGCCCCCTCAAATACTTTTTTGCATAAATGAACATAGTTGCTAAATTAAGCCTCTCATAATCTAACGCGAAGACCATTGTAATTCTCTTAACTGGTCTCTTTACGTCTAACCTTACTCTCCTCCAAGGTTCCAACAGTCGGTTTCCAGCACAATCTCTCTCATGTGCACAGCTGATCACATGATTGCCTAGAGGAACTGTCTTCAATGACCTTCCATTCCGAAGCTTGACTCTTGCCCCCTCTGCGTGGTGGCCCATCCTCCGGCCTCTGCCCAATGTCCACTCTCTCGCCATACTGAACTCTTGGCGTTTTCCTGGCCATACTGGGCTGTTTCACGCTTTGGTGATTATTCCTCCTGAAGTATCCTTTCCCTTACCTAGTTGACATGGTGGTCCCTGCTCACATTTCAAAATACAGTTTACGCAGCACTGTGAAACTTACAGCGACTCCCACCAGCCCTCCCTACGTCCTAACCTGGGAGGAGCCGATCACCCGGTGTGGTAACTGCACTGTTCAGCGTGCCTGTCTACCTTGGTGCCCACAAGACTTGTCACATTGGTGTCCGTGTCAGTTTCTCCCCTTAAAAACTACAGAGTCCTTGATCAAGTGGATTTTGTGCCATTTCTCCCTCCTTAGAGCTTACCAATGCTTAGGGGAAGATCGCTGTTCAACGAATGCTGATTGGCCGAATAAATAAATGAAAGGGATTCAAAGAAGCCCTCGGGAGGATAGAAGAAGTGCACACACTTGATTTTTTTTTTTTATGCTCCACAACAAATCGTGAACTTTCTGGGAAACTGCTGTGTAGCCTGAGAATGCCAAGCCCTCTCTGACCTCCAATTTGCCTCTGCGAAGTGAAGTGAATCGTTTTTGCCACCTTGTCCCAACAATCAGTACAGTCAGAGGCCCTGGTGGGGAGTGGGCTGTAGGAGGCTTCTCTGCTGGGGCTGTCATAAGTAGAAAAGAAAGAAGCAAATGGTCAAGGAAATCGCTCTTGGCGTTTGGTGGCAGGATAAAGGCTTTATTATATTAGTGTGAGTTGTGCTGGGCAACTTTGTGAGGACTTGGGATAATTCAGCAGAGGAAACGGTCCAGAGATGAGTCAGCAGAGGAAAGCCTGCCTTAGAAAGCACTGTGAGTATGTCATAAGCTAGAACACATCACCCACAGTCTAATCCTTTTTTTTTTCTCCTCTCATCCAAAAGAAAACTCACCAAGGATGCATCAAGAAGATAAAGTGAGTCACGATTCCTGCCTCCTTTCCTCTCTGCTCCTTCTCTGCGTTTCGGTATTTGCTGCCTGTACTTTTCTCCTCCAGGAACACGCAATCATCTATTCAGAGTTGAAGAAAAGACATCCAGATGACTGTGCAGGGCAGGCCAGCAGTAGAGGCAGAGCCCATGAAGACGCTGCAGAGAACTATGAGAATGTGACGTGTGCATCGTCAGCCTTGGAGCACTAGCCCCGTAGAGTGGCCCGCAGAGGCCCCAGGAGGAAAACAGCTTGGCCATTCTCCTTGTTCTTGTCCAGCACTCACCCTTGTTCCCTCCCAGCGAGCTGAGCTGTAGAAGATGTGAGGTCATGGGGAATGTCTGCCAACGTCCTCTGTGCCTGGGAACGGAGTGGGCAGCGTTTGAGCAAAGCTGCATTGTCTTCAGAGTAGATACCCACGTGGAGGTGTGAGGACCTTCAGCTCCTGGGCCTGTGGATTGGAGGAGGGGGTGTCACAACGGTGTGTGATCAGGACCATTTGATCTACGTGTGGTGGGAGCTGTTAGCCTACCATCTGTGTTTAAATTTGCTTTAAACCTTTTGTTTCCTTTTCTGTGTGGTTGATAGTGGCATTACTGAGGTTCTAGGCTATGTACTATGTTCCAGCTAGCAAGCTGCAAATGACCAAAAGAACTTATTCTGGCTACATATACACTATTCCTTCATGAGATATGTACCAGTACTAAGAATTTTTTTTTTTAAAAATAATGCAGTCTATTTGATGGGAGAGAGCTTCCAAATTGTCTGGTTAATTACGTTATGGAATGAATAGCGTTCCCTCAAAATTTATATTTTCAACCTCTAACTATGCTTGGAGATAAGGCTTTTAAAGAGGTAATTAAGGTTAAATGAATTAGAAGGTGGGCCCTAATCTGATTGGACTGATGTCCTTACAAAAAGAAGAGACATTAGCAGCATCTCCATCTCCCTTTGTGCACGCAGAAGAGAGGCCATGTGGGGGTAGAACAAGGAAACAGCCATCTGCAAAGCCCGCTGGGAGCCAGGAAGAGAGGTCTCACCAGAAGCCAGCCCTGCCAGCACCTTGATCTTAGACTTCCAACCTCGAGGACTGTCTGATGCTGAAGTCACCTAATCTGTGGCCTTTTGTGATGGCAACTAGAGAAGACTAATGCATATACATAGCCATACAGATGATAAATGATTGCTGATGATGATAGATGATAGATAGGTAGATAGGTAGATATGCCGATATACAACACACACCCATCCAACCCTCACAGTTGTGGTCTTGAAGATAATTCCTTTCTCACTGGATAAAACATTCCCATACCTGTAGGAGCTCAGTTTTACTGTTTAATTATTCAACATCCACTGTTTGAAGGCTACAGAAGCAACAGCACCAACCTTGGAAATTCAGGAGCGCCAATGATTGACATGACTCAAGTGGCAAAGCTTAATGTCCCTCAGGAGCCCTCATGGCCTGAGCTGGTAGTGGATGTGGAAATACAAGGCAACCAGTAGGCTCAAAAAGGGCACCCCCTCCCATTGCTTAAAGACTCCTAATCAATTCTTCAGTAGACTGACAAACATTGAGTGTTTGCCACTGAAGAAAAAAAAATTTTTTTTAAGCATTCCATTGTGCTTAAGTTTCAGGGAAAATGGCAGAATCACTTTTACCCATAAGTTTTGCTGAGGCAGGAAAGGAATAACTAAAATTGTTAGCCTCTATTACACTATAGTTCTGAAAACAAAAGACCTTAAGAAAAGCTAGTAAGTTCATTGATGACTAATACAATTTATGGATGTCATTGATTTTGCATCAGCCATTATTCATGACTTTGGTTAAATAATTTAATGATGTTTTGCAAACCTTGCAAATAACTTGTTCATAAAGGTAGTAAGTATATTTCAAATTTTATGCTTTTCCCCTTGAGAGTCAGAAGCTTAGATAACAGAAAGTATAACATATAGCAAAATTCTAGGTGCCCTTTGTTTGTGTCATCTGTGGAATCAGTCGTGTGGTGCTCTGGTGTGATCTGAAGCTGCCCACTGCGTGTGCTGGTTCTGGAGCCTCTTGGTAGGGGCCTCGGTGCAGGCCAAGGTCAGCCACTGCCTGTGCCCTGCCTATGGCCACTTGATGTGAGCTACAAAGCGATCTGCAGATGGTTGCCACTTGCGCTGGCCTTGGAGGCACCTGGGAGAGGCTAAGCTTCAAGCTGAGGCCAGCTGCTGCTAGTGCCAGGCTTGAAGCTGCTCAGCAAGTGGTATGTGGTATACCAAGGCCAGATGCTGCATGTTTGGGGTTTATGAACTTTTGAGAGATTTTAGGAAAGTCTGCAGCATGAGCTAAGATAGGCTGTTTGTATGGAAAGGCCACTGAAATTGGCTCACAAGTTGGGGGGTGGGGGTCTCAGGGAATCACCAGGGTAAGGTGAATGGTGTTAGCCAGGCTGGTGGAGACTCAGATATGGTGCCCGCCTGCTTCTGCATGCAGCGAGGGGGGAGGGACAATAGCTCAACAAAGGAACAATAGCTTCTGCCAGCAATTCTGCCTGGGAGAAAGCTGCCCCTCCAGCCCTTGTCCTGAAGCTAGACAACTCAGTTCCTCCCGTGTGTCCCTGGTGTCTTTCGAGCTGCTGCCCCATCACTGGAGCTCAGAGCAACTGAGTCTGTCAGCAGGTAAGTCTGTGCTCAGTTCATTTAAGAGAAGCGCCTGGGACTCCAGCTGTCCTCATCTCACTCAGCCACAATCCCCAGTGGTTTTCACAGCCAGAAGTTATGGGGACTTTTTTTCTCAGCACTGAAACCCTGGGTTGGGGTCCCCTCACTCCTCCAGGGGGACCTCTGCAGCCGAGATACCTCTCCCAATTTTTAACCATCACATAATAGGTGTGGGATCAGCTTGTTCTGCACCTCTGCCCCTCCTACCAGTCTTGATGTGGCTTCTTCTGTATGTTCTTAGTTTTAGGGTTTTGGTTCAGCTAGCCTTCAAGGGGGTTCTCAATGCTGGTTGTTCTGTAGTTTAGTTGTAACTTTGAAGTGGTTGTGGGAGAAGGTGAGCACAGCATTTACCTACTCCGCCTCTTGACACGAAGACAATACCATACTGTTTTAATTACGATAGTTTTGCAATATAATTTGAAGTCAGGGAACATGATGCCTCCAGCTTTGTTGTTCTTTTTCAAGATTGCTTTGGCTATGCAGGGTCTTTTACAGTTCTATGCAAATTTTAGGATTAATTATTCTATTTCTTTGAAAGATACTGTTGGAATTTTGATAGGAATTTCAGTGAGTATGTAGATTGCTTTAGGTAGTATGTACATTTTAATAATTATGATTGTTCCTATCCATGAGCCTGAAATAGAAGTCCATGTATTTGTGTTTCCTCAATTTGTTTCATTAATGTCTTAAAGTTGTCAATAAACAGATCTTTCACCTCCTTGGTTAAATCTGTTCCTATGTATTTTATGCTTTTGATGCAAAAGTAAATGGGATTGTTTTCTTTATTTTCTTTCTGACAGTTTGTTATTAGTGTATAGAAAGGAAACAGATTTTTTTGTGTGTTGATGTGGTATTGTGCAAATTTACTGAGTTGGTTTGTTTCACTCTATCTTCCCTGCCCTTTCAAGGGTTCTGTGAGATTCCAGAATGCTTCTGCAGCCTCTATACTCCCCAGTCTTGCCTTCCAAGTAAAGGGTCACTGGTTTGAACCTTCAGGACTTTGGCACTTGCTTTTGGAGAACGTGGAGCTCTCCCTAAAGGTGTGTGTAAGGATCTATGTTTACTGCCAGCTTCTTTATTCCCTTGGTTTGGTTTTGAATTTGAATAGGAAAGAACAAAGGATTTAAATTATCGTAGGGAAAAGAATTGATGTGAGTGACAGATACAAGGTATCCAACATGCCCATAAGTGGCATTCTGAAAGAAGCCAACAGAATAAGCACAAGTGAGAAAACGCTTAAAGGTAGAATAGAGATGAGAATCCAGAACACTGATACAGAATTGTGAGCAGAACAATAGTCTGATAAAGTTACTTCACTTGGGCAGAGATAAAGAATTCATTTGGGCAAAGAGTCAAGTCATGTGGAAAGGGAGAAAAGGCAGCCTTCAAACTTATCCATAGCTGCATTCAAAACTAGGAGACAATAGACCAATGTTTCAGGAAAATAAAGTTTAACCCAAGAATTTTAAACCTAGATATCTTTTAAGAGTAAAGGGAGAGACTTTCTAACATGCAAGAACTCAGTTCCTTTAGCACTCAGGAGCCCTTAAAAGAAGTGTGACTTAGAACTGGTGACAAGTGTTGATCAAATCCATTTAAATAGAACACTAACAGTAAGCAATGGTGAGAATTGTGGTTATAGAACTTGGCATAATGTTATAAGTTTTAAAAGTATAGAAATTACATTATTACTAATAAACATCAGGAGGTGCATGAGTTAAAAACTTATGGCAAAAGGTAAAAGTAGGCTGATTTCTTTCTTATTTAGCAGGAAATAAAAGGATATTGTCAAATCAAGAAAGAGAGCTGTGGGAGTACTAGAGTTGCAAAGTTAACCACTAAGAGAACTGAAAAGAAAGTATAGCCCTTTCAAAATATGTGTAATGTAATACACCCCTAAAAGAAAATACAGACCAGGGAGCAAAAGATAATAAAGCAATTTAAAAGAGAAAGTTTGATAGCATGAAATTCAACGACAGAGTTAAGACCGACATATTTGTTGTATGAATACATATATAAATGTGATAAATAATTCTATAAATAAATAGACAAATTTGGGATCTAAAAAATAAAACCCAGTAGGGTTTTGCATATATTATATGCAAGAAATAATTCTAAAACAAAGTGACATGAGAGGTAAGGTAAAATGATGATAAAACCAAATCAAGCAGACAAACAAACAAGAACCGGAATTATAACATTAATTCAAGCAACTCTAATTCAAGCATATATATATATATATATATATATATATATATATATGTATATGTCATAAAACAGGCCTTCTATAACAATAAAGAATATAATCTGCAACAAAGGTTGATTATGAGTTTTCATACATCAGATCATATAATTTTAAAAATTGACCAAAAGTATAATATAATTACTTTATAAGTCAACCATAAATATTTCATGAGAAGACCTACTTAATATATTTAATCAGCTAGCTATCTTCCAACCTGAAGGTAAAGAATCCACCTTTTTTTTTTTTTTCCTTAGCTGAGCCATCCTGCCACCTGTTGGCAGCTCAGCGGCAGCTCAGCTCGGGCCAGGAATCAAACCGCTGTTGCTCAGAACTCAAACTCTTGAGCAAGCTCTTAACCAACTGAACCACTCGGCCGGCCCAAGAATCCACCTTTTTTTAAAAGGCCCGTGGAATACTAAATGGCAATAACAAAAGACCATAGTAGGTCACAGAAAAAATCTCAATAAATATCAGAAAGTAGAATATATACACCATATCCTTGGATTAAAATGAAATGAATAATAAAATGTTATTAATAGCAAACAGAGAAAAATATAAAACCTACCATTTAAATATTTGGAGACCCTTTAAAAATTCCTCTGTCAAAGGGAAATCCAAACTGAAATGGTACACTACCTAAAACATGCTGTTTCAGAAATTATGGAATGGCTAAGGCACAGAAGAAAATTCACAGCTTTGAACATTCATGTTACTAAGTAGGAAAAAATGAAAAGATATAAACATTTAATTTCGTAATTTAGAAAAACAAAAATATGAGTAAGAAAAGCAGAAATTTGTAAATTAGAAAACAAGAAAAAGAAATGATAACTAAATTCAAGGGTTGATTATTTTGGAATAAATAAACAAATATCAGGAAATAAAAACTAGAGTTGTCCTGAGATAAGAAAAAAATTCTGAACACAAAAATCATCATAGTAAATATTTAGACAGTTGCCAAGGAACATTATTTAAAAAATCAGTATTAGATAGTTTCACAGCTAAATTTTTCTAATTTAAAAAAATGAGATGGTAGGGCTGGCTGAGTGGTTCAGTTGGTTAAGAGCTTGCTCAAGAGTTTGAGCTCTGAGCAACAGCGGTTCAAGTCCCGGCCCGAGCTGAGCTGCCGCTGAGCTGCCAACAGGTGGCAGGATGGCTCAGCTGGAAAAAAAAAATGAGATGGTTCCCTTTAAAGACAGGTAATCCCAAAGCTACTTAAATGGCCCTAGAGCACACAAAAATTAGAAGGATCCTTCCTAAATGTGATGACAGTTACATATCTCAAGGCAACAGTTAGATTTACATTTAATGAAGAATACTAAAATAACTGCCAGTAATGCTGGAAAAAGCAGGGAAATTTAGGATTGTTTTGGAGTATGTTTTAGTCAGGAAAAGATGGCTTGCATTGTGGTAGCAAACAATTCCAAAAATTGAGCGACTCAGCACATACTAATATAGCAGTACCTTCTAAACTGAGTTAATGCAAACCTTATAAGCCAGGAGCTCTATCCCAGGTACAACTCAAAAAAAAAAAAAAAAGCAAAAGCATTCACATGTGTACCAGGCGACATAGAACATCCGTAGCAGCGCATGTTAGCACCAAAAGCTTGTAAAGGCTCTTTGTAAGCCGCGAGGTCCTCCCTCTGACTGCCGGGATTCACCTCTATTTGTCCTTGTTCACTTGTCTTGTCTCGGAGTGCAGAGATCGGATGAGACGTAAGTAACATGATGTGCATTTGTAGATATGAAATTACATGGCCCCTTAGGAAGACCAAAGAATGGGCCCCAAAAGAAGGGCAGGGAAAATTTATTTGAAAAAAAGAAACTGGCACCCCTCATGGCAGCCAACGTCTTAGGGATCTCTGTTGACCAGGATGACAAGGTGGAAACTTGATTTTGAAAAAGTTATGAAAGGAATACACTTATGTAGTATAAAAAAACAGTATGGACAGACAAAATAAAATGCCTCTTTCCCATTCATAGTTCTTCAAAGGTAACCACTGTTTTTGGAATGCTTCCAAAGGGAAAAATGTATGCTTATATCCGTTTACACACATGTGTGTTCTAGTTTTTATATCCACCCCAGTGGGAGAATACTACTAACACCAATCCACTCCTCACGCTTCCTCTTCCTGTTAATCGGGTGGTCTTGCCTCCTCCTGTGTGCAGGCTGACCTCATCCTAGACGGCTGCATCTGTGTTCTGTCACAGCTGTATCAGAACACCCCCAAACAGCGCCATATTCACACTCGTTTATGTTGCTTTCAGTTTGGGCCAATTAGAAGCGATGCGACAATCAACACTGGTTGAGAGCAATCTTTGCATACTTTCCTTAGGGGAATTTCCCAGCAATAGAAATGCATGGTCAACTGGACATGCTTTTTAAAAGCCCTAAAATGTATGTTCTCACTTTGACCATAGGGTAGGAAACTTTGATTATTAGATAAAAATGGGTGTTTCCACTTCCTTTTTTCTAATTCACTAATGCACCCTGCTCTGTGAAAAGTAATTTCTCAGATGTGCTCCTCGGGGCTGGTGTGAGAGTGTACTGCTGTGAGAAACAAAACCAAACCCATCATCCTTGAGAAAACTTTTTGTTTGGTGTCCACCCTGGACAGGCCAGCTCTCCATGCCGCTGTGGGTGTCACTGCTGGCTCTGGGTGAGTAGAGGGACTGGATACAGGCCCCGGGTGGGGAGATCCCGGCCCTTTCTTAGGCTCAGCACTACTCAGAGACCCCCTTCCTGCCTGGGGAGGGGGCACACTCAGGCGGAGGGAAGGGTCAGAGCTGGACTAAACCTTCAACCTGACAGAAAAGGGAACCCCAGGGACCACAACAGTTAGGGTGTATTCATTTCTTTCTACAACAAATAATACTTCATGTAATCCAGAAAATGTGTTGAATGTGCTGGTTTGTACTGTTTTATTCATGGAAGACAGCACTTTTCTCTCTGCAAAGGAGATGCGTTTATTCCTTGGATGACAGGCCCAGAACCTGGTGCTGGGCGTGGGGAAGCACAGCTTCCAACATGCGAGGTGTATCCTGCACACAGGTGCACAGCACAGCAGTGGCTGGTGACATGGGGAGGAGGCGGGACCCAGGGGGAGAAGAAATTCTCTTCCCCCCCAACCCCAGGTTTATTGAAGTATAATTAACAATAAAAATGTACGCATTTAAGGTACAGACGGTGATATCTTCATGTACATATATTATGAAATAATTGCCACATCAAGCTAAGTAACATTTCTATCCCTTCGCACAATTACTCTGTGTGTGTGTGTGTGTGTGTCTCAAGTGTCCATTATATTTAACTATGGCCACCATGCCATGCGTTGGATCCCCAGGACTTTTTCATCTTATGACTGAAAGTTTATTTTCTTTGACCAACTTCTCCCAGTTCCCTCCCCCGGCTCCCCCTGGAGAACACCATTCATCTCTGCTTCTGTGAGTTCAGGGTTTTAGATTTCACATGTAAGTGAGACCAGACAGTATTTGTGTTTCTGTGTCTGGCCCTTGTCACTTAGCGCAGTGTTCTCCAGCTTCACCCATGTCGTCAGAATGTCAGGGCGGCCTTCCTTCTCGTGGCGAATACTATCCCAGTGCATATCGACACCACACTTTCATTACCCATTTATCGGTTCACAGGCGCTTGGCATTTCCACAGCCTGGCTATTGTGAATAGTGATGCGATAAAAGTGGGGTGCCAGGGTTTCGTGAGGATGCTGATTGCATTTCACTGGGATCTGTACCCAGAAGGGGAATTGCTGGATCACACGGTAGTTTTTTTTATTTTTAATTGTTTGAGGAACCTCCATACTGTTTTCCACAGTGGCTGCCCCATTTACATCCCCGCCCGCAGTGGTCATGCCTCAGGGTTCCCTTTCTCCACAGCCTCACCAACTCTTGCTATCGTTTGTCTTGTTGATGATGGCCATTCTGACAGGTGTGAGGTGGCATCTCACTGTTGTTTGCGTTTGCATTTCCCTGACGATTAGCAGGCGAGCGGACATTGAGTGCCTTTTCTTGGACCTGTTGGCCATCTGTGTGTCTTCTATTGAGGACATCTATTTATGTCCTTACCTGTTAAAAAGACAGATAATCAGGTTGGTTGTTTTCTTGCTGTTGACTTGTTAGAGCTCCTTACAGATTTTAGATACCAGCCCCTTCTCCTGCATGTGGTTTGCAAATGTTTTCTCCTGTTCCATCCGTTCCCTCTTCAAACTCTGGATTGTCTCCTTTGCTGTGCAGAAACCTTTTTGTTCAGAATCAATCCTGTTTGTTCGTCTGTTTGCTTTTGTTGCCTGTGTTTGGGGGATTATATCCAAAAACTTGTGTCCTAGACCAATGCTAAGAAGCTTTTCCCTATGTTTTCTTCTAGTAGATTTACAGTCTCAGGTCTTACATTTAAGTCATCAATCCCTTTTGAGTTGATTTTTATATATGATATCATACAAGGGTCCAATTTCATTTTTTTAATGTGGATATTCAGTTTTCCAAGACCATTTATGGAGGAGACTATCCTTTCCCCGTTGTGTGTTCTTGGCGCCCTTGTTGAAGGTATGTGGATTTATCTCTAGGCTGCCCATTCTGTTCCTTGGTCCATGTGTCTGTTTTTATGCCAGTACCATCCTCCTGATTACTAGGGCTCTGGAGACAGCTTGAACTCAGGAAACGTGATGCCTCCCGTTTTGTTCTTCTTGCTCAAAATTGCTTCTCAGGGTCTTTTGTGGCCCTATTTGAATTTTAGGATTGCTTCTTCCTGTTTCTGTGAGAAATGCCACTGGAATCTTAATAAAGTTTACATTGATTCTGTTGACCGTTTTGTGTAATATGAACACTTAAACAATGTTAATTCTTCCAAACCATGAACATGGAATATCTTTCTCTTTATTTGTGCTTTCAACTCCTTTCAACAATGTTTTGTATTTTCCAGTTTAGAGGTTGTTCGATTCCTACAGTAAATATATTTCTAAGTATTTCATTTTTTTTTATGCTGTTGAAAATGGGATTGTTTTCTTAATTTACTTTCAAATAGTACATTGTTAGTGTACAGAAATGCAACTAACTTTTGTACATTGATTTTTGTATCCTACAACTTTACTGAATTCTTTTAGTGGTTCTAACAGGCTTTTTTGGGAATCTTTAAGACTTCTTTATATAAAATCACATAATCTGCAAACATAAGTAATTTTACTTCTTCCATTCTGATTTGGATGTCCTCTCTCTCTCTTTCTTAATTACTCTGGCTAGGACTTGAGTTGAATAGAAGTGGCTAGAGTGTCTTGTTCCTGATCTTAGAGGAAAAGCTTTCAACTTTTTTTTCTCATCATCGAGTATGATGTTAGCTGGGGGCATGTCATATATGGCTTTACTATGTTGAGGTAATTTCCTTCAATATCTAGTTTGTTGAGAGCGTTTATTGTGAAAGTGAGTTGAATTTTGTCAAATGCTTTAATGCACCTATTGAGATGATCATATGATTTTTTATGTTTCATTTTGTTGATGTGGTTTAGCCCATTTCATGAGTTGCACATGTTAGGTCATCCTTTCATCCCAGAGATATGTCCCACTTGAACATGGTTAATCCTTTTAATATACTGTTGAGTTTACCTGGCTAGTATTTTGTTGAGGATTTTTGCATCTATGCTCACCAGAGATATCGGCCTGTAATTGTATTTTCTTGTAATGTATTTGTTTGGTTTTAGTACTAGGGTAATGCTGACCTTGCAAAGTGAGTTGGAAGTGTCCCCTCATCTTCATTTTTTGGAAGAGGTTGAGGACGGTTGGAGTTAATTCTTTCAATGTTTGGTAGAATTCACCAGTGAAATCATCTGGTCCTCGGCATTTCTTTGTTAGAGGGCTTTTGATTAACGATTCAACCTCCTTACTTGGTATTGGTCTGTTCAGATTTTCTACTCATTATTCAGTCTTGGTAGGTTGCATGTTTTCTAGAAACTTATCAATTTCTTCTAAGTTTTCCAATTTGTTGGTGTATAGTGTTCATAGTGGTCTCTTCGACCATTTATATTTCTGTGGTATCAGTTGTAACGCCTCCTCTTTCATTTCTCATTTTGTGTGAATCATCTCTCTCTTTTTCTTAGTCTAGCTAAAGGTTTGCAATTTTGTTTACTTTTTAAAAAAAACAGAGCTTAGTTTTGTTGATCTTTTGTATTGTTTTTTAATTATCTATTTGTATTTTTCTGCTACCATCTTTATTATTTCATTTCTTCTGCTAACTTTGCATTTCTTTTTCTAATCCTTTGAGATGTAAAGTTAGGTTGTTTATTTGACAGCTCTTTTCTTTTAATGTAGGTATTTATCATTATTAACTTCCTTCTTAGGATTGTTTTTATCCTATCACAGGCTTGTATGTCCCTTTCCTTTACCAGGTTAGGTAAGTTTTCTGTCGTTATTTCTTCAGATAGGTTTTCAATCCCTTACTCTCTCTCTCTTCCTTCTGGTTGCCCTATGATGCGAATGTTGGTACTCTTGCTGTTGTTCCAGAGACCCTTTAAACTATCCTCAAATTAAAAAAAAATTTTTTTTTCTTTTTTGTTGTTCTGATTGTGTGTTTTCTGCTACCTTATTTTCCAAATCACTGATTCGATCCTCTGCTTCATCTAATCTACTGTTGATTCTTTCTAGTGCTTTCTTCATTTCTAATTCTTTTTTATGGTTTCTATTTTTGTGTGTGTAAGTTCTCACTGAGTTTATCTATGCTTATCCTTAGTTCCTTGAGCATCCTTATAACCAGTGTTTTGAACTCTGTATCTGATAGATTGCTTGTTTCTACTTTGTTTAGTCCTTTTCCTGGAATTTTGTCTTATCCTTTCATTTGGAACATATTTCTTTGTCTCCTCGTTTTAGCTGCCTCGGTGTGTTTGTTTTTATGTATTAAGTGATCTTTTTTGTCTCCCAGTCTTGGCCGGGTGGCCTTATGTAGTAGGTGCCCTGTGGGGCCCAGTGGTGCAATCTCCCTGGTCACCTGAGCCGGGTGCTCCAGGTGTGTCCCTCATAAGGGTTGTGTGTGCCCTCCTGTTGTAGTTGAGCCTTGATTGCTGTTGGCACATCAGTGGGAGGGATTGGCCCTTAGGCTGACTGGCTGTGAGAACTGGCTGTGACTACAGTGGAGGAGCTGCTGTGCAGGGCTGATCCCATAAAGTGGAATTCTCTTTGGTGGGATTCTGGTGCCTGCTGAGTCCACCCTTTGTGTTATTTGTGGAACTAATTGGGTGGTCCTCTGGTGTGGTTTGAGGCTGGCTGCTGGGTGTGTTGGTTCTGGGGCCTTTTGGGAGGGGCTCTGGTGCAGACCAAGGTCAGCCACTGTCTGTGTCTGGCCCCTGGCCACCTGGTCTGGTAGGAGCTACAAAGTGATCTGTGGTTGGTAGCTTCCTGTGCTGGGTTTGTAAGCACCAGGGAGGGGCTATGCTGACAACCAACTCTGACTGCCACTAGTGCTGGGCTTGGGCCATTTAGCACAATGTACTGGGCACACAGGGGCCAAATGCTGCTTGTTTGGGGTTTGTGGACCTTTGAGAGATTTTAGGAAAGTCCACAGTGCAGGCTGAGACCTACCATTTGTGAGGGACAGCCGCTGAAAGAGGCTCAGGCTAGTGTGTGAGTTGGGTGAGGCCGGGTCTCAGAATCACCAGGCTGTTCGAGCGGTGTTAGCTGGTTAATGGAGAATCAGCCTTGGTGCCTGCCTGTGTCTGAGGCTGGATGGGAAGGGCTCAACAAAGTAATAGTGGTGCCTGCATTTTATCCAGGAGAGCGCTGCCCCTCCAGCCCTCACCCTGAGACCAGACAATTCAGCTCCTCCCTGTATGTCCCTGATGCTTTTTGAGCTGCTGTCTCTTCACTGGAACTTAGGGCAGTGAGCCTGTGCTCAGACTCTTTAAGAGGATGCCTGGGTCTACAGCAGCCCTGTCTCCCTGGACTGAGTCCCTGTCAGTGGTCACAGCCAGGTATCACGAGGACTCCTTTTCCTGGCACTGGTGCTCTGGGTGGGGGAGCCGGTGTGGGGCTGGGACCCCTCCCGACCCCTCCC